AGTGATCGTGTGCGGTGTGGTTTTGTATACATGGATGCTTGTCATTTGCTAATTGGGAGCCCGTGGCAATTGGACTACTACATAGTCCATGACGGACAAAAGAACACCTACTCTTTTGAGTTTAAAGAGAAAAGTCTGACCATATGTCCATCACAAGAGATTATACCTAAACCGAAACTCGATGAGGGTTCTAGCCTTTTTGTCATGACTGAATTCATAAGTGCCTTAAAGGAGACGGGTGTTGCATATGCTTTAATTGACAAGGGGTTTGAGCTGAAAGGTGTAGAGGTTCCAAAGGAGGTGTGACTATTCTCCTCAAGAATATTTCTTTAAGAGGAACTTGTTAGTTGGAACAAACCTCCAATCTATGATGAAGAACCAATTACTGAGGAATATGCCATCATTCATTATGAATTTCAATATGACGGAGATAATATTTATCATCATGAGGATTATGATCACATTGTCTACATGTATGTCTATGAAGATTCTCATTGGCAAGCACTTTTGCAATGTTCAAAAGGGTCAATAAAAGAAGATTTAGGTTCTGTGAAGTGCAAGAAATATACTTCAAAATTTAAGATATACAATGAATAAATCTCAATTCGTATTGGAAGCTTACATCACCAATTATCTATCAACAAGTTAGAAACAAAGAAGCGCGGTGGAAGTGCAACAACATATGTTGGTAGCCTCTTAAACAGTAACATGAATCCGAGGTTGATTTCTCTCCAACTCGAGGAGAATGATGCAGTACGGGATTCAGACCAATTGAGTAAGCATTTACAAAGTTGGTTTTCGAAGACTCATTTTAGTACATATAGGAGGACAGTAATATTTGATGCGGAAGGCTATGTTTGGGCCATTTTAACAGAGGAACGCCTACCGGTTGGGCAATGAGGAAAGATGGCACCAATGAGGTTGGACCATGCAATATAGTTGAAGTTATCAATGAGAATGCTTATAAACTAAAGTTACCCAACCATATATGTACCCATGATGTTTTCAATGTCAAACACTTGGTATTATATATTGACAATCAATCAAATGATGATTTGAATCTGATGACGAATTCTTCCCAACCTGGGGAGGATGTGCAGTACAGGAAAAGGCCAATAAGTTTTATGCAAGTTGGGACCACTCCAAGACACATAAGAAGTTCTGATGATGTCACTAATCCAACTGAGTAATCAATTACCAAGTTAGCGCCAACATGGAATTTCCATCTTAGTTCAAATTTACCAAGTTAGCGCCAACACGGAATTTCTTAGTTTGAATTTACCAAGCTAATGTAATTACCAAATTAGTATTAGATCATGATTTCCGAATTTTTGTTCAATTAGGACTTTTTTTTTTGAAGAGTTTTAGTAGGATTTTATTATTGAGTATTTTCATAGATTATGAAGCTTTCTTGTAGGAGCCATAAGGGTGTATGCCTATATAAAGAATTGCTAGGGGAATGCTAAGATAGTTTTTTGATATTGAGTTTATCTTAATTATTCAGTGAAGAATTCTTCTTCTTGGTACTTCACCCAACATTTATGGGGCCACCTCTCCAATTGTTGCACCCTCCACTAATTAATGTGGCTTCTGCCATTGTGGTTGATAGTGATACACCACCACGTAAGGTTCTCCCCCTATAAGATGTGCTTCAGCGTGCTCCCATTGTTGCTCCTTCTACACAACACCATAGAGCTCGTCATGCCTTGCCTTGTGCTCTTCTTACTACCAATGCCCCTACTGAATCATCTTCTCATGCCACTGCTAGTAAGATTCTAGAATGACGTGCTGCCATGCAATCTGAGTATGATGCCTTAATAAAAAATGGTACATGGTTGTTGGTTCCCCCTCCACCTAGTGCTAATTAGACCTGTTCATGGGCCGGGCCGGCCCGGCCCGACCCCCGGACGGGCTTGAACAGTATATAGGCCCGCGGGCTTAACCTCGGGCCAAAAAGCCCGGCCTGCAATAAATTCGAGCCGGGCTCAGGATTTGTCAAAATAGCCCAGCCCGAGCCCGGCCCGGCCCGACCTATAACTAAACCTAAAAACCTTAGTTGAATACCCCTCTTTTTTTCACCTCTTTCCCCTCTTTTTCCAACCGAATTCTTCTTCTCCACATCCTCTTTCCCTTCTTTATATTCTTTTTTTAATATAAATAAATTTTGAATTTATATATATTTTTAATGTAAATAAATTCTGATTTATATTGATTATTGAATAGGGAAATTTTCTAATTTTTTTTATTGGGTCGGGCTTCGGGCTCGGGCTCGGGCTTCGGGCTTTTTATTGGGGTCGGGCTCGGGCCCAAGTTGTAGGCCCGTTGGTCGGGCCGGGCTCGGGCTCGGGCCTAACATATTTCTGTTAATGAAGAGTAAAAGCCCGGCCCGAGCCCGGCCCATGAACAGGTCTAGTGCTAATATCGTTGGGTGCAAATGGATCTTTAAACTGAAGCGCAACTCTGATGGTTCTCTGGCCCGTTACAAGGCCCATTTGGTTGCTCGTGGTTTTACTCAACAATACGGCGTTGACTACACTGACACCTTCAGCCCTGTGATCAAGCCTATGACCATTTGCTCCGTTCTCTCTATTGCGGTTTCCAAAGACTGGCCCATTAAGCAATTGGATGTGCATAACGCTTTCCTACATGGCATCCTTGATGAAAATATCTATATGGCCCAACCCCCTGGGTTTGTGGACCCAGTTCGACCCAATTTTGTGTGTAAATTGCGTAAAGCTTTATATGGGCTTAAACAGGCCCCATAGGCCTGTTTTTTTCAGCTATATTCACATCTCTTGAAGTTGGGTTTTCAAGGTTCTACTTGTGACCCCTCTTTGTTTCTCTACTATTCAAGTGACACCACCATTTACGTCCTTGCATACGTAGATGACATTATAATTACGAGGAACAAGCCCTCTGCTATACAATCTCTCATTTCAGACCTCTCAAAGTGTTTTGTATTGAAGGATCTAGGTGATTTGCTTTTTTTTTTTGGCTGAGTTAGTTGACGCTAAGGCAATGAAGACTCCACTTGGAGTTGGTTGTCATTTATCCAAGAATGATGGAGAACTTCTACCTGATCCTTCTACATACCGCAGTATCGCTGGTTCCCTTCAATACTTAATGGTGACTCGACCTGACATTGCCTTTGCTGTTAACAAGACATGTCAATTTCTCTCTTCTCATACCACAACACATTGGGCAGTTGTAAAAAGGATCTTATGGTATCTAAAAGGGACGATATCTCATGGTTTGCGAATTCCTCCCTCGACTTCTTTTTAGCTTCAAGCCTTCTCTGACACTGATTGGGTTGGCTGCCCCGATGACAGGTGCTCCACCAACTCCACCAGCGGCTTCACTCTCTTTCTGGGTCCCAATTTAATCTCCTGGAGTGCCAAGAAACAGCACACAATAGCACGCTCCAGTATAGAAGCCGAGCTTCGCGCCATTGCCTTAGCCATCACTGAAGTCATCTGGATTCAGCATTTACTCAAGGAGCTGAAGGTCTTCTCTCCCTCAGCTCCCATCATGTGGTGTGACAATGTGGGTGCTCTGTATTTGGCTGCTAATTCTGTGTTCAAAGTAAGAACCAAACATGTGGAAGTAGATTTCCAATTTGTCCGTGATCTGGCACACTGTCGCTTGTTGATTGTTTGTTACCTCCCCTCTAGTGCACAAATTGCTAATGTTTTAACTAAGAGCCTTCCTATTTCTCAGTTTGCTATGCTTAGAGACAAGGTAAACAGCCTTCCTATTTCTCAGTTTGTTGCGCTTAGAGACAAGCTGAACGTCCACTCCCCTATTCAGCTTGAGGGAGTGGACGTTAATTATAGTATTTTCATAAATACAGTATTTATTAACAGTTAACAGTATTTTAATAATTAACAGTTTTTTAATAATTACCTGTATTTTAATAAATACTGTTAACTGTTAATAATTAACGGTTAAAAACAATGTTAATGATTATAGTATTTTTAATAATTTCAGTATTTTAATACTGTTAATTAACCATATTTTCAATAATTATAGTATTTCATAAATATAGTATTTATTAACAGTTAGCAGTAATTTAATAATTAACAATATTTTTATTAATTAACAATAATTAATAATAAACAGCATTTTAATAATTAACGACATGTCCACGGCACCTTCCAACAACCTCTTGTAGACATTTGATTGCTAGAAGGGAGTCACCTTCGATGATAATAGATGAATCTCAAGAGGAGCCTACATTTCAGCTATTGAGTGAGATTGTAGTGTAACCGACAATGCCCATTTTAGCTTTTAGCATTTCCCCTCTATGATTCTTGATTATATATCCAAAGGCGTGGCCTCTATTTTCTTTGGCTGTTCGCATCAAAATTGATTTTAATAGTACCTGGCTCCGGGGCAAGCCAACGGATCCAATTCAACTGATTTGAGATCATCCCTTTGATCCTTATTAGCTGGTTCATTGACTTCAATGTACTCAATCACATAGTTCTTGGCTTTATGAACTATTTCATGTGGGGACCAATATTTGTTTTCGAAGACTTTTTTCATTCCTGTTATTTTTCTAAAGGTACCAGAAGAAGGTTGATGCAAATTCAATTCTCCTGTGGTATTTTTGGTTCATTTTTTCGTCAATAAACCTCATCCACCAACTCTCTAGATCCCAATTTAGATCAGTCATTTGATGGTGCATTTCTTGGTCCAATAGGCCCCAGAAAGTGCAACTTGGATCTTTACTCATGCCCCAATCTTAGGTTTTTTTTTTTTTTGACAATTATTTTAAGATCATTTGCCAAAGGAATTTTTTTTTTCCGGATAGAGGAGGCCCCTAGAGTATTTTATTAACTGTACCATCTACACCAAATTAACTGTCCCTAGAGGAACCCCGATCTGAATTTGAAGTCATAAAATTAAGTTTTAAATGCTAATATATTATTGCTTACTACTAGGGTTGTCAATGGGTCGGGTCTAGGCTGGGACCAGCTAGAACTGAAACCAACCAGACATAAAATATTGAGGATCTGGAATTGAACCAGAACCAATATCGGTTCTGAAGACAACCGGGTCTGATCTGATGGATTCGTTGAACTATTCCAAGAGTGTGTTGCATCCCCAGACCAAAAATACAAGCTTCTGTTTGTAGCATCTGAAGTTGAATGAACGATAATCTAATAACCGTCCCTAACAAGATTCAGGATGACAAACGCATCGGATTTTTCAATGCCTCGGCATTGTTCTTTTCTTCTCCAAGTAGTGTAAACTCTTTGATGCATGCGTTCTTCAAATCAGACATTTTATGACATATAGAGACGAAGCTCTCGCTCTCTCAGCTATATGCACAACTGCATAAACGGAAAGCCTAATGAGTTAAAAAAAAAAAAAAAACAAGACTCGCGCAAAAATCTGCGCAAAATTTTCCTGTTTAACCCAACAGAAGACCAGGAGATGTAGTGAGAGTTTCAGTAGCCATACTCTCCCGGTTATGAAGCTTGAAATTTTCTTTTTACAGCTAAGGCTGCTGCTCTATACCATGCCGCTGCAGCCATGGCTCCTGGATCTGGAGCAGATGCAAGGATCTCGCCAGAGATATAGGACGAACGACCGGCCTACAAAAGCAACGCTGTCAGTAGTTTTCAAATGTATTTTGTTTTGATAAGGAACTAAAAGCAATGTATATGCATTTGAAAAGATTTAGTTGGAGACGTTCAGATGAGTCGTAGGTCTCTGAGCATCAAAATGAGCCCACTGTCTAGGGGACCTACTTAGGAGCGGGGGGGGATGGGAGGTCTTTCATGTCAAAATTGAGATCTACATTACCACTTACCACTTGACGTTATTCATGTCAAAACTGTCTAGGGGACCTCTCCATGGTGAACCTTTACGTTATTTTTTGTCCAAGAAACAGGTAACCCGGGGAGATCTGTGGTAGGGGTGATCATGGGCCAGGCTAGGCTTTGCACATACGACAAGAGTTATAACCTAAGCATGGGCTCGGCCAAACCCAAACATAAGCCTGGGCCTGGGCCGGGCTTTGTTCCAGGCCCGTCTTTTATATGCAAGTTGCCAACTGGTTGGTTGGTAAGGTCTCCTGCTGGTTGTAGCGAATCCCGCCTGCACCTAGGTTTTTTTTTTTGGGGGGGGGGGGGGGGGGGGATTTGGGAGATGGGCTACACCCCGTTGTGGTACAGCCCCTTTGGAGCGAAAAAATTATTTTGTACATTATAATATAACATAAAATAATACAGTACATATAAAGTACACATTTAAATCATCTATCAGAAAAAAGTACATATGTTTAGTTATATGTGGGCGGAGTGGGCCGGGCCCGGGCTGAGCTGAAATGATCACCGCTACTATATGGGTTAGCACCACCGGAAACAATAGCAATGGTTCACAATAAGGTATCATATATAACGAGTTTACTTTTCTCTTATTTTTTGCTCCAGGGGGAATACACAATGGGGAATAGCCCATCCCCCAAACCCATAACACCCCCCCCCTCCGGAACCCAGTGCAGGTGGGTTTCGATTCTAAGTCCCCGCTCAATCAGCAGGAGACTTTGCCAACCAACCGGTTGGCACCTTGCACAACACCGTTCACTTATTCCTGTGGAAAATTGCTTTCAACAATGCACAAAGATATGAAAAGGGTGGCACTGAAAGCTTACCTGTGCTTGCATGTGTTTGGTAGACTCTGCACCACTCAGTGCTGCTTCAGATGAGAGAACAAAAGCAACGACAGGATCATCTCCTGCATCTAGTCTCTGTTCATGAAATGGATAATCAATATAAACTACTAAACCACAGAAGATAAAAAAAGCACAGTAACAATTGATCACCTCTCGAAGAACTTCCAATGCTGGAATAAGGGCATCCAACAGTGTACGATAACCAGCTCTTGCCCCTCCATATTTACTGACTGCAGCAATGGATGCTTCAAGTGCATCAACCCCTGGAGCAAGATAACTGTTAACTGAGGTGCTCATGATCAAACTTATCAAAGGAGAAATGTTTCTTACATTGTTTGGCTGTAACCACTGGTGAAGTGCTTTCTTTCAACTTTGCATATGCCGCCTTACAGAATATATCATATCTGCACATGGAGCAAAAGATTAAGAGATGATTACAACCAACCACTAGATGAACCTTAACATCTGGAAATAATTGCAACCATATGGACACTAGGAGGTTTTCAACTTCCAGATATTGACTCCAAACTAAATTTAGGATAAAGGTGAATACATTACATGATCCCACTCGTTCCTCCCATAACCTTTGTCATAGAAGAGCCAATTTCATTTACTGTTTCTGCAGCATCATTCAGAGGATAGCTGTGAAGTAGATAAGTGTGATTAAATCCTCAGGAGAAAACTAAACTCTACAGAGATAATCACATTGAACCAATTTAAACATGGAAAACATACAAGGTCTATAATTATCCTCGGTTTCAAACAACATGGATTCCATTATTTAGTGTTGAATCATATTGTTTTAGCAACCAATATATACACCGAATAAATGATTTAACTGTGCATAAGTAACTAGGAAACAAATTGCTTACTGTGCGCAACTCAAACAGCAGAGATAGATTTAAAGCTTCGGAAGAATGACCATATCCAATCCATAAAGTAGCTTGTGAACTACCAAACCAGGCTTTAATGAAATATTGAGTATAACTATTGAAATAATAAAAAAAATAACATAGAATTCAACTTATTGAAGATTTCATGAAAGCCTTGGAAACATTGAAATTACTTAAACATGACATTTTTTTCCTCACAAGGATGTACCATTTATTTGTGACCGCATTTTTTTTTAATTTTCATTTGCATAAACAATCTCATTGTTTGTTAATTATTGTTACTCTAGCAACACAACATTATGAAGACCTATTAAATATGAGGTGCTTCTCAATAATTCCTACGATTTAGCAAGCCAATATTAGTATTTTACATAAAAATAGTAAAAGATATCACAGCGAAATCATGCTTCCGAATTCAAGGTTTACCAAGGTTAGTTCGAAATATTATTGAAAATGATCAAAAGCAAAGACTCTAGCAATATATATATATATATATATATATATATATATATATATTCGGAAGCATGAATGAAGTGTCTATGAATATTAGAAAGCAAAGCACAAAAAGAAGGTGCAACCAAAGCACAAGGGGTTCCCAGAGCCTCAAGCACAAAACGTAGGTAAAGCACACACCTAGAATAAGTGACACACCACCTTTTTCTCCTTGAAAAGAAACAATAGTAAAAACTTAGTATACAAGAATACACAAATCAAAATTCCGAAAGAACTAAAATATTTCAAAGAAACCATTAACTTGATTGGTTGGAGCATGATGCCTCCTTTTGGACTGGTAACAAATTAGTAACCTCTTTAATAATATTGCAGAAAAATCAAGAGATACCCCAATAAGAAAGAAGAGTAAAACTTTAAGAGCTAGCTCCACCCTGCTACTTCTCCCCAGAACAGCAATATACCACTAAAGGATATAGAACATCCCTCAACCAATGCAGTTAGACTACAACTCTTCTGTTTACCACTTCCCTTGTGTTGAAAGCATTTTGCTATAAGAGCAGTTCAATCTTTATGTAATCATGGGTATCATTGTAATATATGTAGATAAGTATAAGTGTAAATACTAATCAGAGGGCCACACCTAATGCTTTTGACCACTCACTCTCGTCTCTTCTCTTTCTTCTTCTATTCATCACTTAAATCAAGAAACTAGATAAATTGGTATCAGAACACTGCTCAGATCTTGTAATGATTGCTGCAACACTGATCAGGTGTTTAGGTAATCACTGCCAAGCATTGATATTAGCAGGCTGTACGGTCAGATATAACCTCGGAGTAAACCCTAGTTTCTAATCAGGCTAAATTTTAGAAGTCTTTTGGCATAAATCTGATTGCTATTTAGAATCTGTTACATCAATTTTTCTAGATTGTTCTTTGTGAAAATTAAAGAAATTGCAGAGTTGACCTTTTTTGTTGGATTCGATCTATGAATTGTCTATATGGGACTGGATTCATCTGTTTCATGACTTTTTAGAAGCCATCAAAAGGTTATTTCCCTCGTTTCGGATTAGTATTGAGTATGTTTAACTAATTTCTCCAGCTTATATTTATAGTCCAGTCTAAGGTTTAGCTTTATATGGCTGAGCAATAGTCTTTTTGTGTGTGTGTGTTTTGGATAATTGTAGTCTAGTTCTGTGTTTGGGAAACCTAGAATCTGTTTTTGATTTATCAACTATTTTTGTCTTGGCCAGGAAACCTATTTTGGGTGTAAAAAGATTCCAAATCTACTTGTTGATCTCTTGGAGCGTGATCTACCTGTATTTCCTTGATTTGTTTTGTGAAGGCATCTAGTTCAGACCCTAAAAGCATTTCTAAATATCACTTGGGAACTAATGGTAGTCCAAATATCCATACCACTGCAGCTAAACCTGATGAGAATAATTTTCTAGAGTGAGATCATGTTGGAAATGAGGTTTCCATATATTCATTTAAAAGCCAAATTCTTTGTACATTCATGATTACACTAACTGATGAGCTTTTCTTTTATGAGGCACTCATTATACAATTGAGCTTTATATGCATTGGGTAAAGTCGTAGGGACTTTAGGTGATGAGTGGGGCTCATCACAGGAAACTTAAATGCCTTGGTTCCTTAAGGAGGCCAGAGTCATATAATTGGCACATTAAGGAGGCCAGAGTCATGATATCAAAATCACTAGCTTTAGCATTTATACATTAATCTCAAAAGAGTAAAATTATAGAAATATCCCTTATGATGAAATAAAATAAATAACCATACATTTTCCCACTACTTTTCTCTAGAACATAAAATCAGCAACAAGTACAGAGAAACTGAAACCCATGCAAAACTACTATTTGCTAATCTTTCAATGGTTACTCGTGTGCTATTTGTCCCTACTTCATGAATGTGGGGCAAGGAGTGTGGGTTTTAGAAATTCTTTTACTGTTGTTGTCCCTTTTAACTAAATAGCAGTACAGAAAGCTACCAAGAAAAAAAAAAGTGAGGTTCAGTAATGGGCCAAGTAAATGAAGGAAATAAAGTCAAAAAAAAATCTGACAAAAGAAAACTTACTACTTCTTCATGTCCTCAAGGATGGCTGTTGCACCTCTAAACATCTGCAAAACAAGTGTACTCAGATCCCTCGTGCCACATAAATAAAACAAAGGAACATGAACTACAACAACATAGATTATGAAGACAACTCACAGTTGACCCACAGTCACCATCACCCACTTTGCTATCCCATCCATTTAAACTATCTCTAAGACTGATAACTTCATTCGCTGCTGCTTCAATGGCAGCTTCAAGAATATAACCTTGCTGGCTGAGCTCTTGAGGTCGACTTAATGCCTATTCATCAGTAGGTTAAGTTATAAAATGTGATAAGGAGTCTAAAAAGTTAAAAAGAAAAGTGACAACAACAAGATAAAATGGTGAAAGCACATATCTTCAATATTAGAAATCAACTAGAGTTGTTTGGAGAAAACAATTAACACAAAGGTGGCATTTCTATTTCTTGCATGTTTTTACCTATGATCATAATTAAATGCCCAGACAGAATTAAAGCCCTTAGAACTCTTAAATATCCATGCCCAAAGGAGCTCTTTTTGCAGTGCTATTTTCTATCCTTTTCTACCCCCTCTGGACCAGAAAAAAAAAAAAAAAAATCTATCCATGCCCAAAGGTAGAACCATCCCAACCAAGGCTAATCACATTAAATTTTCCATGTTCCTAGATGTGAGCATAATACAAACAGTCTTAAAACATCCTTAAAATTCATGCCTATTCCAGAAATGCAATCCAAACCATTTATTCTTCATATTACACAGCACTCAAAAAAGAAACTCTATCCTTGTCAACTCAAGGACTATTGATAATGGAAGTGATTATATACATACTAGTCTCTAATGTGTCAAACTAAAAATATTTCTTTAAATATTTGAACCCATTTACTCATGGATACCAGATTTTCTCTACCACACCTGTCTTGTAAAAACTAAATGTCAGATTAGACCCTAATGAAAATTTTAGTACTAGTGAAAACTAGAAATTTATTGAGAAATTTTGAAATGACATAAGCATGTAGCAAAATCCATGAATACAATATGTATATGCATGGAAAACCAAACTGTACAGGCTACTAGAAAATGATGAATGGCATACCTATTCTATGAATACATATATGTATATGTACATAAAAAATGTAGGACTGTTGGCTATAATACCAATTTGATGCAGGACTAGAATGACACAATGGTGAGTCTAGGAAAGAATTAATTAGGTAGAGTAGAGTTTATGGATGGTAAAATCTTGGGATGGCAAGTGTGAGAACATGGGTTCAAATCTGAGAGCAGCCACTTTCTGCAAAAGAAATGCCAAGGGTTAGATCATATCCAGTCTACCCCTCCCAAGACCCCAGATAACTGGGACCAACATTGGGTAATGGCCTTTCTAGAGTTTAGAGATGATTTTAGGACAAAAGGTAGGGGCTTGGTTAAGTCAGGAAGGGTCTTGAGGTTTGACAACAACTATTGTAGATCTGCCCTAAAATTGTGAAAAGTATCAAATTGGGGAAAATAGGTCTAGGATTGAAATTTTTCAATGAAATCCCCTCCCAAGACCCCAGATAAATGGGATCAACATTGGGTAATGACCTTTTAATAGAGTTTAAGGATGATTTTAGGACAAAAGGTAAGGATTGGTTAGGTCAGGAAGAGTCTTGAAGTTTGACTACAACAATTGTAGATCTTCCCTAAAATTGTGAAAAGTATTAAATTGGGAAAAATAGACCTAGGATGTGAAAGCAAGTTTGGTATAGTTCAGAATGTCTTTGACTAAAGGCAAAAAATTCTAGGATGTAAAGGAAACTCAGGAACTATGAAATCTAGGGTACTAGTTGGAATTTTGAGAGGGTATTTAGTGAAATGAAAGGTTAAGAAGATCTGTAGGGCTGTCCAATTATGGGATTGAGTAAACATGGTTTGGCTTAAAAGGACGAAAACTTCTGAAATAGGAAAATTTTGTATCAACATGAACCTGAAGAAAACATACCTAGATCAATTCCAATCTTTAAAAGATTTTGAATAACTTCTTCGTTAAAGAACTTGTGAGCTTTTGATGTACTGAAACACTAATTAAAGATTAAAGAGAAAAGAAAGAGAGAAAGAAGGGAGAAAAAACCTAGAACCACTCTAGGGTATATGGAAATCACTCTGCTATAAGCATAGTAAGCATAAAAATCACTTAAATATCAATCCAATATCATTTTCCACATTTTTTCTCAAAACACTCACACACACATACACAAACAACAAATATAGAGTAGCAAATCCTACTAGAACAAAGAAAAGAATGGAAAATACAGAATAGACACTACCCAAAAAAAAAAAAAAAACAAAAACTCCTAAACAACTTAACCACCAAAACTGAAATTTTAAAGACAAATTAAAAATAGCTAAAAAAACAAATCTACTAGGGCAGAACCACAGGTATGTAAAATAACCAAAATACCCTTGTATAAATTTACAAAAATACATAAAATTTCCATAAAATTCCAATTTTAACCCTTTAGCTCCTACAACAATATCCTTCAATAAACATCAGATGATCATAGAGCTTCATATAGACATTAATCACTTTTAATTCATCCAAGTATCCATTGATTTCATATCACCATGACAACTGACATTATTCCATCTTATGACAGGAAAACTAACACTAATTAATAAAATTGGTGCTACTACACACCCATTTTAAGGAGGCTTATATCTAAGGATATCATGGCATGATACTGGGAGAATCATTAATACTTCTATTTTCCAAAGACCATACTCTTTGCCCATTAGAGCAGCCATTCTTCTGGGTAATCAATCCATTCTGATACATTGTGCAATAGAAATCTTTCTTTTTTCTCCATCTAGCATCTACACTAATCATTTTATAAGCACTATATGCCTCAAATTGATGTCATGTCATAAGTATCGGCTGATAATGATGTTATATATTTAGGATGAAGTTGCATATGTATTTTAACAGCTTCTTTCAGAACCATCAATCTACTTCCATGGCATAGAAGTTAGAAAATAGGAACATAGGAAAGCCTAACAGTTTTCTATAGCCTAAATTATCATGTAATGGTAAAAGCTACGAATGAAGAAGGGAAAAAACAGGAGAAGCCTAACATCTCTGTATTATTTCAGTTTTATTGGATGTTTCCAAAGAGACAGGAGAAACCCGAAATGTTAGGATATCAAGAAGAGCAGTAGTCTTTAACATAATGAATAAATTCTTCCACAATTACCTCATCACTTCTAGTCAAACGAGATGGTGGAACTGGAACAGGAATCTTAGCAGGTGGATGATCTCCTGCAGATCAAAGAAATTTCTAATAAGCTCAAACAAAAATAATGACAATGGAAATAATAACCAATGCTCATAACTACAGCAATGATAATATACCATCAGTACTCTAAGAGTTTGTTTTGGTTCTTGTTTGGGTGATGAGGATATAACTAAAGCAAGCACATTAGAAGAAATCAAAAGATAACCTCAATAAGTGACAAGATGGAGGGGAAATTGACTAAGACAGTTGGTCTTTTGCATTTGAAGATTCTAGAAGAGAAAAAGGAAGGTTACAGATAATGTTGTTTGAAGTAGCGACAAAAGACCTCTAGGTTTACATTTCACAAAATAAAGACCTTAGATAAAGAGGAATGGAGGATATAGATTAATGCAACCAACCCTAAATCACTTAGAAAGCTTTGTTAAGTTAATATGAATTGGATGTGAAATACTATTACCAAAGGAAAGAAAATTTCCACAACTATCAATTGAGGGAAAGTTATGCAGTTCCAAAGATGTGTTGCTTGTAATCAGGCTATTCCCTTTTCTTTTTTTTTTTTTTTGTTGGTTTTTATTGCATACATAATACAAAACTATGCAGTTATCAAGAAATTAGGCATTAGTAGAAGCCTTTGGAGGGACAGTGCTGTCAAAGAATGAGACAAAGAAAACAAGAAATCCACTCTGGTTTTCCTATTCATTATCTCCTACCATCAACACCAACAGGCCAACATGGAGCCTTAGTTGGGGCATCCAAACGCTGCAAAATTGTTTGATCTGCCTTCATAATAGAAATTGAAAATCCTGCCATAGAAAACCACAATTCTGAGCATCTAGCATTTTCAAAACAGAATATTATTTTATTTATTTTTCATGCCATGGTAATGTACCTGCCATATCAAGAGAAGTCATAAATGATCCTGTGTACACTCTGGCAACAGCCAGTCCATGTTCCAGCTGCAACTTAGGAACTGCCTTTCCTGCTGCAATCATCAGTTCCATTACCGGAGTGCCACCTAACCTTCACCCAGAAAAAAAGTGAAGCTGTCAATCATCTCTTCTGAAACCTAGGAAATTCTTAAACTGAGGATATGATATGAAAGGGAAAGTAGAAACCTCAACAATAGGCATAGGAATGAGTTGTTTTTCTTCTACATTATATTTAATGCTTAATGAATCAAATAAGAGAAGAATGAAGGAAGAAGATAAGAGATGGGAAAAGAAAATTTTGTGGAGCAAATAAGTATGAGGCATCAATTTCCATTCCATATATAAGAAAATGACCATAATACCCTTGATTTACAATACAATACCAGCAGCCATATTAATAAAAAGTAAATGATGAACAGCAGAAAATAAGTAGACATTAAGTGAATTGTCTGAAAAGAATGGGATGGAAATGGTAACTTCATTTCAACTGATAAAAAGAGTTATGAGAACCAGAATGGGATTAAGCAAGAATACAGGATCATCTCAGTTAATTTGCTTATAGACGAGTTGATTCAGGTTAATCAAATGAGATTAAACAATAATTTGAAGTATAGCACAATCTCCCAGGTAAGTCTAATCAATTCTTGCTGGCCAAGTGACTATGTAAAGTTCAACTCATAATTCTGGTTGGATGTTGAACCACAGAAAGGGGCTCACAACTTTCTATTGGTAACAAACAGGCAAAAATTCTCCTCTAGTGGAACTCCCTCTATGATAGGTCCAGAATGAGCTGCAATCATTTCCCCAAACTGGTTTCTATATCCCCCTCCCTCTCTCTAGAAGGTTCCAAGTTGCCTAGAAAACGCCCATAAAAATAAGTTTCACATGCCCCTGATTAGGAGGTGTCAACCAATAGAGAAGTGAACAATAAAACAAAAAAGCTAAGGATACGAGAACAAATTTAATGTCGTTTGGTGGGTAACCTACATCCATAGCAGAGAGCATCAAAATTCCACCATCTGAGAAAACAGAAAATGTAATAATTCCAATCCCTCTTTCGCTCTCTACAAAGATCTAAAGGACATAAACATAGAACGATGATAAACCGAAGTAGAAATAACTTAAGTGTGCATTCCCACACAAAACACCACATGATGCCCTAATATATAAATCCATTGACCCAATGAAATCATATTCTATATGGGACCCAAATACCAGACAGAACTAAACATCATACCAGATCCATATATCAGACTTAAAGAAAACCCAGGACATCCTATGTTACCCAGATACCGAAAGGGCAAGGCTGGAAAAGGTGTAAGATATGAAATTTATACTAAAAATTGAAGTATCCGACACAATAAGACCCTTATAGCTTATAAAATACCTAGGTATTGTAGGATATGTCAACTCTATCTCAACATACATCTTTTCTTTTTTTTTATCAATAACAATGAATTTTATTAATGATTGAGAAAAACAGAGTTACATGGGAAGGAGCTAAAGAAACTTAACTCCCAACTACCCAAAGTACATCCTAACCATGAGACAATTACAAAACAGCCCAAAAGATAGAGTTTCTGTTCACCCCCTTGCCTAACTAGACCATCTGCCAATGCATTTGCTCTTCTCTTTATCCATGTACAATGAATTTCAATGTCCTTGGTGAGCCACTTGAACTTCCTCTTTTAATTGCTGTATTTCCAGAGCATAGAACTGTCCTCTTTTAGCCAATTCACCACAATTTCAAAATCACCTTCTATGATCAACTTTTTAATATTCATTTCCTTGACCCTTTGTATCCCTTCAAGAGCTCCTAGACAAGGTTTAAAATGTCGATGTCGATGAAAATGTCGCTTACCAAAATATAGGACATATGTCGGAAATGTCAAGGGGAAATATTATAAAAATTAGAGACATTGTGGAAATATTATGAAATATGTGGAAATAT